AGCGGGAACCGGTCTGTATGTGGGATCCGAACCCTCGGCGGGAGTGCTGCCGCGCTCCCAAGCGGCGTGCTGTAGCAGTGCGCCGCTGGGCCGGCCTGTGCAGGCCATATCTTAATCTCTCTTAACCTACCAGCAACTTTCCCCAGCCCTGGATCCTGCTTCTAGTATTTCCTATATATCACCTTGGACTTTCCTGACACAGAATCCATGTGCCCATCCTGTCCTTGGGATCAAAGACATCCAGAAGGATTTGTTTTGCAGCCAGTTGCTGCCCTCTGGAACCAGAGACAATATATTGGATACACTATGGGATACCCCTGCAGCCCCTGTCAGGTTTCTGTGCGCTGGTCGGTGTTGGTGACCTTCTCATCCCAGCAGGCTATGTAGTTGCAGCAGCAAACCATGTGACAGAAGGGCCTGAGGGTGAGCCTGATGTCAGGCTGTCTTTCCATTGCCTCTGCCTGGGCCCCAGACATTTGCCTTTGTCGACCTTCAAGACCTTCTACCTTGTTGTTTACCTTTCAGCCTCCAGCATCTCAGCTTGCTTTGACCATGGTTAATTTCTTTCTTGGCTTCCTGGTTTCCAGTTTCCTACCTCTTTTTGTTCCACTGGAATACTGACCCTGTATTTTGACATCCAGGAGTCTATTGCCTACGAGGATGTTTCTCTGTCTGAGGCCGTTTCTGCCCAGCCCATTCTGCTCCAGCCTTTTCCCAAGAGCAGCTTATTTTAGCATCAGGATGGACAGGCTATACATAAAGTCGAGTCTCCTGATACTTCTGACTTAGGAGCAATAGTCGATTTGTGTGTTTTTTTCCTGTACAAGTATTTGACTCAAGGTCACAGGTAGAGGTTAATACTTTCTGGTCTTGCTACTACCAAAAGGGAAATTATAAAAGTAAATATAAATCCCAAAGACAACACTCTGTGTCTCTGACACATGTTTTGAGCTTGTGAGATCTTCCATCAGTACTTGTTATACAGATCAGATCCCCATGATTTCTGACTGGGATGCAGAAAATGCAATGTAAGGTAATCCTATGGCATCTATATTTTTAACCACTAATACAACATTTACCAACTAATTACAGGAGAACAACTACCATGCTATAACACTTTAGAATCACTGCAATAGTCCTAATAATAGCTAAATTTATTGAGTATTTACTCTATACCAGGTACTATGCCAAGCACTTCACATGGATTATCTCATTTAATCTTCACAGCAACCCTATGAAGTAAGTGCTATTATTATCCCAATTCCATAGATGAGAGAGGCACAGAGAATTTAAGTAACTTGCCTGGAGTTCTCCACTAATAAGTGGTGGGGCCAGGATTTGAACCCACGTGGTCAGACTCTAGAGCCCTCACTGCGAAGGTTTTGTCTGGTTATTGTCTGGCTTTGCTGTGCTGAAGAATATGTTCTGTTTTACAAAATTACTTTGGAATATGAAGGGACCATCATTCTCATGATTGTAATTTCCTCGATGTGATATTCACTTTTGATTATTCTTGTATTTTTCAGAATTAATTTTATGAAACATTATTCATAAAAAATGGGGGTGGCCACGGAAGAGTTTACTATTTTAGGATAAATGCTTCAAATTTTCACTTCACTTGGTGTACAGCTTGAAGCATGATGTATCCTATACATTTCTTCTTTTTAGTAGCTTCGTTATTTGCCAACTATATTTGAAATTATAATCTTAGACTGATGTATAGTTGGAAAAAATCTACTGGTCTAGAGATGGAATGGACTTCAGCTAAACTGTATTATTAATAGCAATGACAACTGGGTCCTACTTGTTAGAGAGAAG